TTGGTTTCTTTTGCAAGTATAATCTACTACATAAAAATGACACAATAGACAGAAGGAGAAAAAAACAGCACAACACAAATACAGCCAAGCACCAAGGTAGAACCTTCTCTTCATCCCACTCATCCCACCTTTCGTGGCAAAAAGCCAGATGCTCTGAGGACAGACTTGAGTTCACAGTGATGTGAATCCAGCAGGAGGTAGTCAGCTGCAAATGTCTTACACAGCCCTTGTTTGTTTTTTAACGTCTTTGGGGGTTTTCTGGTTTTGATTGGAAATGTGTGGGGGTGGGCATATTTAGTCTGGAAACTAAAAATCAAGCAATATAAGAATATATTAAAAAGTTTTGATTACAATCATCATTATTTTCCTTTGGGGGAAGACTGAAACCTCTGTGAAGGACCTAAAACATGTTTTTAATGCAGGGAAAGTATGGGTCTTTGTGAAGGCTTTTCCATGTCATTTCCTTATCAGGTTTATTGTTTATTTCCCATGAAGGTTTAGCTGTTTAGTGCCAGAACAGAATTATTTAAATGAAAGAAGGGAAGGTTAAATTTATCATGTCTTTCATCATGTTCAGCTTCTGCTCTTTTTGGGTGTTTTCTTATCTCAATGGTTACATAACTTACATGTGCAAGCTTCTTTGTCACTTTTGCTTACTAATAATAAACAGTGATACTCTATTCGTGTCAAGTAAAATGGTAAATGGCCTGTATTTATATAGCGCTTTACTAGTCCCTAAGGACCCCAAAGCGCTTTACATATCCAGTCATCCACCCATTCACACACACAATCACACACTGGTGATGGCAAGCTACATTGTAGCCACAGCCACCCTGGGGCGCACTGACAGAGGTGAGGCTGCCGAACACTGGCGCCACCGGGCCCTCTGACCACCACCAGTAGGCAACGGGTGAAGTGTCTTGCCCAAGGACACAACGACCGAGACTGTCCAAGCCGGGGCTCGAACCGGCAACCTTCCGATTACAAGGCGAACTCCCAACTCTTGAGCCACGATCGCCCCAAGTGTTTATTTATTTAAACTGATTTATTTAAAGTTGTAGAATAATAATAGAATAAACCAGTTATAAGAACTATGGAGGACCACAAGAGTCATGTGCATTGAAATAAAGAATTCTGTGCTTAAATAATACATTTTAGAATAAATTCTGCATTCATAAATTCATTTTCAAATTCCAATTTAATAAACTGTTTAGCCTCAAGATTTACACTCATCTCGACACGGATATGTGAAGAATGAAGGGACCCTGCAGTGAAACGGAGTTTACGCAGTCTGACCAACATTTGAAGGTAACGTGCTAACATATGCTAACGCTAGCATCACCGCAGGTAGCCCCATTATTTTAAGGTCATTTTAGCTTGTGAAAGTTTTACGTCGCAGCTGTACGAGCTAGCTACGTGTTTTGTAAGCTGCTGTGCTCTTCACAAATAAAGCTAGAAGCAGTTCAGACTATTAGAACCAGCACTGAGACCTGTTACATTTATACAGTGATAGAGCAACAGCTGCAGCCTACAGCCTTTGAATTAGGGATTAAAATGCTGACAGTAAACTCGTCAGTCCAAATGTTACCACATTACTTTGTGATACTTAAGAGTTAAAACAACTGAGACAGGCTGATTAAAATAACAGCTGTGAGTTCTCTCATTCCTTATATCAAGACTGGAGATCACACTACTGGTTTCATTTCATTTAATATGTGAGTGCACAGATTCATTTTCAACTGGACATAAATGATGATCAAAGGTTGCACATATGATGAATTCATCAAATCCCAGCCTCTACCACAGTGCGCTGAATCTTACCTTTTGAATGTCCAGTATATTCTAATCAGTGCAATTTAATTCAAATTAAATTTCATTCACTGAGCCTACAGTGAGCGCAAACCAGTGAACAAATTAAAGCAAGTACTGTTGAGAAACTATAGTACATAAATTACAATTAAAATTCTCAACAACATGAACAACTGATGGAAATATAAATAATGTATAAACAACTTAAAACTCCCCAAAGCATCTAAGTCGCGTCATGTGACAGTGCAACATCTAAGCATTAGACGGGGGAGGGGGAGCAAAGTGTGCCTGCTTTGCGCTGACACGGGAGCGGCAAGTCCTTTGCCCAGGCTAGTATTGATCCGATATTGATGTCGACTTGGTATCGATACAATCGATATTTGGATCAATCTGTCCACCACTAATTTCTAGGCGTAGCCAAGTGGCTTTCCCTTGGGTAGTCTCAGAAACGTGAGGAGAGGCCAGCATCCAGATGAGTGATATTACTGTGACGATGACAGAGTTTTCCAAGGAACCACTGAAGACACAAGAGAGCAGAGGTAAATACATGTACTGTGAAAAACATGAGTGAACAGGGAGCCATGCACTAACATAGGTTAGCAGACAATCTGGCAAGGCCGGCTTATGAACGCTGATCTGATCTCACGTGGTGATCCTGGGAGGGGTGATAAATAAAGACTCTGCCGGGAAAAGGGGAGCAGGGGCTGTGGAAAATACTGTGACTCACCCAGACCATGACAGTTTTGGGTTGAATCAAGCCAGATGACACAAAGAAAGCCTGACTAAAACTTTGCATCCGCCTTAGGTGGCAGATTTCAAAGAAGTATAACAGGAATGACTGCTCACTTGACAGGTTTCCAGCAGACCGTGTCCACATCCACAGCAAACAGTAATCCAGCCATTACAAAGCTTGAGCAGCATAAGAGTGAAAAAGAATGAGACTCAGATCAGGTCACATATTTATTGAAGAGAATGTTACAAGCAGCATAGTTTAAACTCTATGTGCTTTTAATTCTGCTAACGCATTACCCTGAACCCTGTGATATTGATATGTAAATATATATTTTTTGGTTATAAAAACTGCTCACCAAAGTCACATAGACACAGGTAAACAAAAAAGAAAGAGAAAGCCTTGAATATTACTGATCATGATGTGGCTTGATGTCACACAGTCCTTTACTTGAGTACAGATTTAAGTGTCCTGCTTTCTGAGCACCAGTCAATTTTTACTGGTCCTGCTGTTTATTTTTTATTTTTTATTTTTTTTTCCCTGAATATATTGTACTATGTTTGCAATGGGCTGCAATAATAATAATAATACAAACAGCTGCGTCTGGGCACAACATCACTCTGACATATTGAGCTCCAAATGAGATCATCATAGCTGTGGAGAGGAGCAGAGCTGATCTGGAGTCAGATTATGTTCTTTTGTACTGGGACATTCAATGTGTTCCAGCCAAAAAGCATCCATCTTTTAAGAACTGGGTGGATCTGCAGGACAGATGAAGGATGGAGACGTGTCTTTGATTCTGAACAATGTGACGATTAATGATAATGGAACATAGGACTGTGATAGTTTGACTCACATCAAAACCACTTTTGGTTTTACCTTCAGAACTTCCTTAATCCTCCAAGGCATAGATTCAACAAGGAGCTGGAAACCTTCCTGAGAGATCCATATTGGTCCATATTGACATATAGCAACAAACAGTTGTGAATCTTCCATTCCAACAAATCCTAAAGGTAGATTGAGATCTGGGGCCTGTGGAATACAGTGAAGTATGTTGTCCTGCTGGAAGCAGTCTTCAGAGGATGGACTTTGGCTTTAAATGATGCTCAGTTGGCACAAGAGGGACCAAAATGTGCCAAGGAAATACCCTCCACAACGTCACCACCAGCTGAACTGAACTGTTGATACAAGGCAACTTTTTATTAACACATTTTAGTGAGCCCCAGTTTCTTGTTACGGGAGCGGCACCTGTAGCCCATCTGTTTAAACATTCAGCGTTCAGGGATGCTCTTCTGCATACTTCGGTTATAACGAATGGCTGTTTGAGCTACTTTTGCCTTTCTATCAGTTCAAAGCAGTCTGGCTATTCTCCTTTGTCATCTGCTATCAACAAGGCATTTTCACCCCAGAACTGCCGCTCGCTGGATATTTTCTCTTTTTTCAGATGATTCTCTGATTGTGTGGGTAAATCCCAGTAGATCAGCAGTTTCTGAAACACTCGGCCCAGTCTGTCTGACACCAGATATTTGGTTTGGTCATGTTGACCACGTTACATGCTGCTTGTGACTCAATGATTATCAATTTATCCATCTTCTTCCGCTTATCCAGTTCAGCGTCATGAGGAGGCTGGAATCTATCCCAGCTACTATTGGGCAAAATGCAGGTACATCCTGGAAAAGTCACCAGTCTGTTCCCTCCCCATTTGATTTGATTGGCGCACCAAAAGTTCTTGGTTAGGTTTGTTAAAAGATGACGGGTTGGGTTAAAAATAAGATTACAACATTAAACTGATGTGATGCAAAACGATCGAACATCCATATGTTAGAAGTGAACAAGATGAGGCTCACTGCCTCTATGTGAAATGGAGTCATCATTCTTTACCTCACATTTCCCAGTTTTGACTTGTTTGAATGTTTACTGAGGAAAACATCTGTTGGAAAGAATGAAAACTCACATTTGCTTAAACACAAAAACTCGTGTTTGGTTGAAAACAAAGTACTACAGAGAAGAGTTTGATTGTTGGTCCTCCAGGTGAGTAGAGTTGAGTGTGTGTGTGATCAGAGGTGAAGCTGCTTCCTGGTTGTTGATGTTTGTTTCTAAAGATGTTGTTGATGAGACTTTGTAGAAAGCAGCTGGTCTGAGTGATGTGATCAGAGTGCAGTAGATAATGTCTGACAGCAGTTTGAAGAGGAAATGGATTCTGTTCTGTTCTTCACTCATCACCTACCTGACAGCTGACACCTCACACCTGTTTCTCACCTGCAGGTCACACAGGAGGAGACAACAAAGATGAAGGTGGAAGGAAGGAGGCTGGAATAAGTAGAGGATGTACTGGATTGCTAACAAGTGCATCAGTTTTTGGTAATCTTGTTGCTTTTAATGCTATTTTGTTGGTTTTGTGATCTAGGGAAAACATAAAGATTAATCAGGTAAGATTTCAAACGAACCTCCTGCAGACTGAAATCTCTCAGAACTCATCAAGTGTAAGTTGTTGTAAAACAATTATAAACAGCCATGGAAATAGATAAAGAAGTTGATCAGAATCCAGAATCTCATTCTGCTAGTAAATAACCACGATAAGGAACCAATATTATTTTTAATGCTAGTAGTTTCTAGTAAACACGCCTGCTTTTAGAAAATAACATTGGTCAGAAAACCATAATCTTAATAAGCTTCCAACTTAATGACAAGAAAGTACAGAAGACTGAATAAATAACGTAGTGCGTTTGAAGCCCTTGGAAATGACTTAGTTTTCCTCTCCTGCATGCCACTTTTTGAACATAGAAGTCATCTATATATCAAAAAGTCAAAAGTCAAGTGAAGGATGACAAGTATGCAGAATCCCCTGTATCTGGTTTAGATTTCCTTGCATGATGCATATGACGGATGTAAACAAATTATCTTTGAAGATGTAAACAAATTATCTTTCAACTTGACAAAAAACGAAATTTATGATTTTTGAAAAATCATGTAAAGGAGGATGAAGTAACTGTCCATTGATGGAGTTCTGATTGAGAGAGTTATGAACGCTGAATTAACATTGAAATCTCATATTAATAAATGTTAGAAAAACGATGGTTAATTATTTATTTTCATTATTATTTATTATTTGTAATAAATAATTTATTTATATTTATTTATTACTTTTTTTAATGATTATAGTGAAAGGTAACTGACATCAAGCACCTCAACAACAGTTTGCAGGTTTTAAAAAAAGCAGCAATTTAAGTGACTGTTATGGTTGTGTGCAAGTCTTTGATCAAAAATCTGGCAGCAAAACATCTGTCAGACTGAGTTTTAAGTTGTCAGCTGAAATAACAGGATACTTCACACTTTTCGAAAGGTCCACGTTCAAAGTTCCCACTTTACTTGGAGATGTACCATGGCCTGCTCTTCCTTCTGAGCTACAGCTACCCCTACCAGAAAGCATCAAGCTGGTTCTGCTCGAGTGTTTTTTCCATTGTGCTTGCTAGGGGTCATTTAATTTGGGGGGTTTTCTCTGAATTATTTTAGGATCTCAGTTATCTTTATTCAGACTTGAGTAAATGCAGCCATAATGATTCCTACAGCACGTGCTTAGCATGATAATTTTATTTATGACAAGCTGTGGAAGCATCACTGATGATCTGCTTGTATCACTGTTAGTATTTCACGTCCAACATCTCCCTCTAGTGGCCATACAAATAAACCATGTGGAAGGATGGTGTTAATGTAAAATGTAAAACACAACACATGAGTACTATAAGCAACACCAAAACTCAAACTAGGAGGGACCTAAACTAGACCAAAAACCAGAGATTATATGAAACAGAAACCATAATCCAAGGACTAAGAATGTAATATAAGCAAAAGAATCATATGGTAATCATATGATAAAATATGGTAAATGGCCATTTACCGTATTTGTATAGCGCTTTACTTGGTCCCTATGGACCTCAAAGCACTTTACACATTCAGTCATCCACCCATCCACACACTGGTGATGGCAAGCTACATTGTAGCCACAGCCACCCTGGGGCGCACTGACAGAGGTGAGGCTGCCGGACACTGGCGCCACCGGGCCCTCTGACCACCACCAGTAGGCAACGGGTGAAGTGTCTTGCCCAAGGACACAACGACTGAGACTGTCCAAGCCGAAGCTCGAACCGGCAACCTTACGATTACAAGACAATAGTTGGAACTATTAGTTCAATAATAAACCAAAGGCACTGGGTTCATGACCCAGTACCGTGACACCGTTAAATGTTGTGTTTTTTTAACACATTTGGCCACAACTAATGGTGTAGTTTCAGCCTCTGGACCACTTTGGACCTTGTGTTGTGCCATAACTGAGCATTAAATCCCTCAACAAAGTTGATTAGGATTTAAAATGTAAACAAGTTGTTCACATGAAGACTTCATTGTCAGTACAAGGTGTCTAAGGAGAAAAACTGACCAGGCTTAATCTACTATGATACAATGCATTACTTTCACTTCTGAAACCACAAAAACAACTTCCTGTTGTTGACACTAGTTAACTGTAGTTTTACTGTGATGAGACCTCTCACCACAGTGTGTCCTGGTTTGGCTAACAGAAGTGTTCATGTTGTGAGAAAAAGTTTGCTTTGTGCTCTGTGGTGAAGCGTCTCAGTCTGCATTAAAAGAAGATGGCACCTTTGTGGTCGTCTGACTTCCATTTTCTCCGAAACACCCACTGGTCCTTTCTAATCAGATGTTTTTCAGCAGAGGTGGTAAGCTGCTTAGAAAAGTTCAGGATATCAAACTGGACATCTCTCAGAAAGGGAAGGTTTTTCTGTCATTTTAAATAATTCAAATAATGCACTTCCAAAAACAATGGAAAGTAAGAGTCATAAATTTGCTGTAACATAACCTGCATTCTGTGGTAAAAAAAAAAAAAACACCTGAAACTCGTCAGTTAACAAATAATAACAATTATTTTGGATAAATAAATAAAGCTTTTTCGGTATCAAAACCTTGTTCAAGGTGTCTGCAGGCATTCACACCTCAGCTTCGGTGCTGTTGTTCTGCACACTGGAGGCACAACTCAATTCCCTCTCCCAGAGAATGCGGCACTCATGCCACTGACACTCTTCCTTCACCGAGCAACTCCTGGTGGGGAGTGAAAATGATTTCTTTTTTCATGTTCCTCCTGAGATGGTTAATACCAAAAACGTAAACACTCTTCAAAACCTATTAAGAACATCAAATCTAAAATCGTTTATTCCAAGGCTGCTGATTCGTTGGGCTAAAAAGACTGCTCATTCTCTTCATTTTGAGAATACGAGAATGGAGAATCTGGAGTCCCAGATTTAAACCTAGTGGGAGTGCCCCCCCACAGAGGGACAAAAGGACCCCCTGAACCTTCACAGACAAGTTACATCTAAAAATTAATCCGTTAATAACATACATAAAATAATAATATTTACACGATGAAAAGTAGTATCCCACCTCTGTGTTTGAACCAATAGAAAGCTGGTGCTCAGAGGAAGAGGGCGGGCTTTACTTGGTGTCAGTGA